CAAATTGCCAGCAGAATTTCTTGGATGCATTTGATCAATTAAACGGGAACACATTTGGGGAAAATAATTATTTTTTTCATTTGTTTTCAAATAAAAATGGATTTATTTTCTATAAACATATTATTCTGAGAGTTCAATGCCTAACTAAGTGCAGATTTCAAGATATAAAACTATATTATTATATACCTAGTACAAAGAAAATAAAACCTGAAGGTTGAAAGTATCTCTCATCATTCATTCCAAACCTCAAATGAGGTTTTTTTTCCTGTTTGCCCACCTTCTCTCCCTCCCTTCTACCTTTCCTTCCTTCTACCTCTCTGTCATTCTACATAAGGTTGGCTCCAAAAGCAGTGTGGTTCACAAAGACCTTTTTCAGCCCTCCAGAAAGGTAACCTTAGTCACATCACTTGGGAGCTCCAACATAATTGTTCCATAAGCTCACTCAGATCTTAAAGCAGAGCAAAAAGATCTCAGGTCTCATGTTTTCCTTTATTTAAGATTTCTACTTTGTTCAGTGATCATGGAGAGGGAATATGCTATTGCTTCTTCAGCTGGCCTCCGGGCAGAAAATGTTGAAGGAGATTCAGATTTCCTTTCTTATAACTTTTCATTTCAGTAATACAGGCAATGGAGATAACACATCCCTTTACTGCAACAAGCAGTTCTGTGTAGTTGTAGTCTCCATTCAGTTACACATGGAGGCAGATCACCAGCTCTCCTGCGTATCCAACCTAATCATTTCTTTCGTTGATGCCCACATCTGACATCCAGGCAACATGAAAAGGAAATTGTGCAAGGATCCCTCAAACTATGGCAACACCATGAATTGGATCGGGGTGGCCCGCTCTATGGACAGTCATCCAATAATCTATTTTAACCAGTCTTACCTAGCATATGACATGTAGAAGGTTAAAGTCTGAACTACTTTATTATGCTATATTATTACTACTATATTATTGCTTTAATGGAACTCAGGACAAAATTCAGATTAAAGTGGCAGGAAAAAACATAAAAGAAACTTCAGAAAGTAAAGGTACTTTTTTCCTTTTTGTTATTAGGTAAAACTCTCCCGATCGCCACTCCTCCCTGCTTTAACTAAATAAAAGTTCACTGTGTATATTTGACAAGAGGAAACTTCATTTTATATTAAGTCAAATATAGTAAAGACTTGTAGAAAATTGCCTCTAGATAGTGGTAAATGTGGATGTAAGAAAATTGGCTCTTAGTCCTTATGGTCTCACCCTGACAGGTTAAAAATTCTATGGTAAACTGCAGTGAAGAAGGAATTTTAGGAAGTTACTGTATCCTAATCATTTGATAGTTTCATTTTTTTTTTTCATTACAATGTCCAGTAAATGTTTGCTTCTAATAGTCAATTCTATTTTCTGAAAAAATATTGTTTGGATGACTCTCACAAAAATGGAACCCAGGATTTTATAGGATTGAACTTTTTATAGCTCCCTCCCAGTTACCCCAAGGTGGGTAACTGTACTATAGGGGCCACTGTATATCTTACTCAAAAAAGGAAAATTGAGAAAATCATTAACAAAAGCATAATAAACACTGAGGGTTCTGCCTTAAAGTTTCAAGCTACTGCTCTCCTGTTCCTCTGGTTCATCAACTGAGATAATCATATAAACATCTGAAATTATGCTATTTTTAAAAATCCCTGATTCATTTCCTCCTTGATCTCTTTATTATTTCTTTGTTTCAGCGCCTATACAAGTCTACATTTTCTCACTATATAATCCCAAATTCACTATGGGAATTTGAAAGACTATGAGGACGTCAGGTATATGGAGCTCAACTCAGGTATGAGAGGATCCTACTAACCTGATTATGGTTTGCTATGTCCATTTTACCAATTTCCCATCAGTGATTTCATTACTTGGTACTAAGGGCTCTCACAAATTTCTTCAGTAGGAACGTGGAAAGAATATCAGAATGTTTCTGTCTACCTTCACAGGATAATACACTAAAATTGTTTTAAGAGAAAATGTCTTTAATATCTTTAAAATGATTAAGACTGGCAATTGATTTGCCCAACACTAAAATACATTTCAACAAATTTAGGCCTTTTTCTGGATTGTTTTATTTTCCCGTTTGTTGAATTCCTACTGCCTAGAACAGTTGCCAAATTCATAGTAATAACTGATTGTCGAGTAAGTGACTGAATCACTAACAATAAAAAAAAAAAAAAAAAAGAAGGAACATGATGCTTGATGCTGTGGGGATGCCCTAGACTTACAGAGTTTGAATACAGAAAATGTGGGCTCCAGTTCTCATTCTCCCTCTAACTAGGTGGGTGACTCAATTTACTGCTAGGCCACCAATTTATTCATCAATAAAATAAAAGAGTTAAGCTACATAATTTCAAAAAGCCCCTGAAGTCTAAAATATCTGTGAAAGTGTTTATAGCATAAATTCACACAGACAAGCAAGCTTCATTATATAACATAATAGTTTCAAACTGATATTGACACTAAGGGTTTTAATGAGGGGTGGGAGGGAGAATATTCCCAACTTGACATTAACAATCATATTCAACTAAATTAAACCTTTGGAAGAATCACAGATCCCCAACAAGACAGAGGCATGTGACCAAATAATTTCCACACAAATTAACTGAGAAAGCAGAGACGGATGGGCTGCAGTCCAGTGAGTGACTTGAGGCAGTTCATCTGGCTTTTTCTGATAGTTTTTAGCCCTACGGAAAATGGAGGAACCCTAAGTCCATTTTATGAAGCACATTCTGTATCTGAGCTAAGTTTACAACACAGAGTAAATCAGTTCTACCCAATACACTTCAGTGCACTGTAAATGTATGATAAAATGAGGATGCCAGTCAGAATCCCTTTGCCAATTAATACTGTATATATATATACATTTTTTTGGCCATTAATTTGGTCACTCCAAGAGATCTGTTTTGACAGTTTTACTGTAACCATTCAGCGCAAAAAGGAAATATATGAATGGAGATGAAAAGCACCAAAACCTTGTGTTAAACTCCTTTGTGAACAAAAGCAAGCAGAAATGTAATGTGGAATGACTTTCCTGAGTTAAGGTAGGATAGGTCTTTGGGGGGTGGAGAAGACTAAAATTGGACTGATACAGGCCTTTCAGATACCTTTTAACTGCTTTAGCTGCATTTCAAGTAAAGCTGATGTAGTTATTTTAGTCTTTTGCCACTTTTATGTCATTTAATTCACCACTGAGAATACACTTTTTCTACATTTGTAGCCTTTTGGTATAAAAGGTATTCACAATTATGGTGAAAGAAATATTCTTTGCTGAGAAATATGGACTCTGAGCTGTTAATAATTTACTGTTTAGCATTCTGAGATAAACCGAGGATCTTTCTGTGTTTTAGACACAGAAAGATGAAGTTAAGGAGAATCACTAAGAGCTGAAATCCTTATGTCATGTAGTGCTCGATGCAATTTTAAGGCTTGGCCATGCATTCTCTCAGTTTTCTCATCTGTGAAATGGGGCATGGAATTGGTACACAAGAATTTTTTAAGAATTTTTACCAAATATTTTCTTTCCAGAAAAAGTATCTTTTTGTCTATTAAGACAAACTCACCTAAAGTACTAGTTTATTACTAGTCTGGCTTAACTATAATAAGCACGACTTCTCAAGTTCTTTTTCAACTTTCAGAACTTTGCTCTTCTGCTTACCAATTATCGTCACTTGGTCATCTAAATAAGACTTTCTAAACCTTACTTTCTTGTTGCGCAAAATGACAAACTAGTATAGTACTTTATTTACCGAACTGCTTAAAGAATTAAAATGAGATAGGCACAGCACCTGGTAGTGATAAACACGCAATACGCCTTAGTTTTTATTATTACAGTTGCTGTTTTTATTTGCAGTGGAATTCTAACTCTCTTTCAACGGTTCAGATTTCTTCGGTTGATGGATGTAAGAGAGCTATTAGATCCCACTTCCCATCCTACTATTTCCCTTCCTCTTTAGCAAATCAAACATTCTGTCATCCACCTGAAAGTACCAAATAAGAAAACAGACACCATTTTAAAAATACTCTTCTCAATGTTGCTTCCTACAAACTAATCCCAAGGAGAGCCCAAATCCCTAGTGTCATTCTCCAGGAGAGTGTTGAAGAAAGCAATACTAACACCTGCATTTACTATTTGCCTAGAATTATTAAAAATATATATTTTTTTTAAACTACGGTCTTCCACAGTGAAAACACAGAGACAACAGATATTGCTGAACGTCACAATAAGATATTATGTCCATCTCTAACTCCACGCTATCTGAAAAGAAACACAATTTCCACTAACATTTACCTAAGAGATCGCGCGCGCACGCGCGCGCGCGAACACACACACACACCTTGTCACCCAAAGCATATAACCTATTTCAAGGTTAAACTAACTCGAAACAATTGTCTAAATAAACAAAGCAATCCCTTTCGCTGTTCTATAGTCAGGAATGGGAGGTTGGGCAAGTTACACCCTCCCACCTCCCCCCCCAACACCCCCACCCCCACACACACCCTTGAGTAATCATCTCTCTTCCTTGTCGTTATGAGGATGAAAACTTTTCTGCTCATACTTGGATTTCCAACTCCAAGTAGGACTCAGATCCAGGTATAGGAGGAAGAATTAAACTAAAAGAAGTCTTTCTTCTTCCCTCCCCTTTCCAACTCACAGAATAATTGCTATTGCCTACAGCCTGAAATATTAGTAAACATTGCCTCCAACAGCTAATGAAATGCTTCCAGAAACATGCACATCAGTAACCCTCTTCCGGACTGGTAAGTCTGGGTTTGGTTGAGTGAATGGGAGTGGGTGAGTGAGTGAGTGAGGTTTGATCTCAATGCTTACAAAACGTGCTTTCAAAACAACCACGATTTCTTTTTTCGGGGGAGAGGGGGTGAGAGGGAGAGGGAGAACCCTTTTATCTCCCCCAGACCTCAGCCCAAAGGGACCAGAGGGTCATCGAGGGGCGTGGGAAAGGCTGTACTCACACTTACCTTGAGCTGGAGACGAGGAGAGTGTAGATTTTGGCGCTTGTTACGTTATGTTTTGTTTTCTGTTTCTTTTAGTGCGCCCCCAGCACCTGGGGGTGCGGAAGGGTCGAGATGGGGCCGGGCGGGGCCGCGCCCCGGGGACGGAGGGAGCCGGAAGGGGGCCGCGCCTGCCGCATCTGGCCAGCAGGGGGCTCCTTCGCTCTGCCTGAAGCTGCGCTCTCCTCTTGGCGGGCTCGGCGGCACAGCCCCGGACAGAGAGGGCGGGGTATCTGGAGAGGGAAGGTCCAGGAAGGGGAGGACTCGAGAGAGACCAACTGGGTGAGCCACTCGGTGGGTTTCCCCCAAAGCCCGCGGAGCCTGCCAGGAGCTGCCTCGGACTTGACAGATCCTGAAGGAGTCAAGCGTTTCCAGGAACTGGGTCCGAGTCTCCGCTTCACTACATCCCCAGTCCCGCGGCGCCGTCTCCGGCCTCCCCACCGGGTCGCCTGTGGCCCCGGAGAGCCCTTCTCGCGAGGGCGTTGGAGGGCGAGTCCGGGTCGCCGGGCCGAACCCTTAGGAACCGGGAGAGCGTGTGCGCGCGGTCGGACGTGCAGGGCGGGCAGCGACTCCAGGTGCCCTCGCCCCGCCGTATGCGCGCTTCTGGGGCTGCAGAGCGCAGGCCGACTTGGCCCGCAGAGGCCACGGCTTGTCTCTCGTTGTCCTGTGTGAACACACCTTTGCGTTTGCGTCCTTTTCTCAGTCTGAGAGCCGGGCTAGAGGGAGATTTTGCACCCTCTCCCGGACGAGGCCCGAGTCCGAGCCAGCGCCATGGGCTCCAGCGGCTGAAACTACAGTCCATGTGGCTATAGGGTGCCTCTGCCCCGCTCCGGGCGCCTGGAGCCTGGAGCCGCGCCGGGCCTTCCTCCGCGACGGCGCACTGGGCCTGGCGACTCCGCTCGTCACTTCGCGGAAGGAGTTTAGTCCAGAGGCCCCCGGCGAGAGCTGACCTCTGGCGGTGCTCGCGACCCTCTCCAAACAGCCGGAGCACTGGGACCAGCCTTCAGCAGGCCTCGTTCTAGATTAGGAAAATGCTCTATCTTTCAAGGGGTCTCTCCCAGCTAAGTAGTTTTGGTGTGCGGGAGCAGTGATGGCCTTGAATTTGTACAGTTACTGCCCCCGCGACACCCTCTGCCCAAATCCCTCCACATCCATACACAGCTCTCCTCCACCGCTGCCACCACTCCCACTCAATTTGCATTTGAAAACCTCTGGAAACAAGCGCTTTCAGACTGGACCTTCACACACAGGCTCAAGGCCTGCCTAGTGGAAATTAGGAGAGTCACAGAATCCATTGGAATAAAATCGCCTGGCCCTTGGCCCCTGACCTTAACAATGTCTAATAACCCAGGATACCGCATAACAGAATATTACAAGTTTCTGGGGACCCTTTCGATCTTTTAGAAACAATCACAACAATAGTAGTAATAACAAGAAGTAGAGAATTGTGTTTTTCAGGACATTTACAGGCAATCTGCCCCTTCTTGGATGGGGAGAACTGAAAAAAAAAAAACCCGTTCAGACACACAACTCAAATGACACCTTCTCTTTTCTAGATGCTAATTAAAAGTAACTCTGTCGATAGGCATTTGAATTAAAAGGGCTGAAATTTTCTAACTCAAAAGCAATGTACTTCGAGATATATAATTGTGTGTAAGCATATCATATGTGATATACAATTTTGAAAAGGTGAACTTCTTGGCTTTCAAAATGTCCACTCAAAAAACAACAACAAAACCAACAACTAGAAACGTCAGCTGCAGACTGGCTAGCTACAAGGAGTTTTGCCCAACAGTCCAAAGCCTCTCTGCTTGAAGCAAGGGTGCTGGTCAACTAAGAGGCAAAGATCTTAATTTACACATGAGGGATCCTTTTGAAATTTAACAAATAATTTCTAAATGTAATCAAAGGAGTTTAGGGATTCAAGGTTTTGCTGGTTGGTTGGTTTTGTTACTGGTATTAGTTTTAGTAAAGTATGTAATAAGTATCCCCAGATCCTAGTCCATGTTTCTGTTTTGAAGGTACTGGAGAAAGCATCAGTAATTAAGGGTTAAAACTCCAATAAAGCCCTGAGTCAGTCTTGCCATACTATCCTTTACTTAATGCCTTTTGTGGGAATTTCAGAATATTTCTATGATTTCAAAATGCATTTCTGTTTTCTATTACTTCAATGCAATGTGAAAATAATACTTTGAACATTTGACTAGGAAAAAAAATTTTATTGATTGCTAATTTGGAATAAGAATGGATGATACTTTGCATAATGAGATTCCATTGCTCAATGATATGTATATTTAAGTAACAGGGAAATACTATTACAGGTTTCTTTACAACTCAAGGGAGTAGTCATTCCATTGGCTTTCAAAATATAAAAGAATCTTCCCATAAACCTGCTTCCTTTTCCAATACTGTGGTAAAGTTGATGTAATTTAATGTCTATTGTGTCAACATTAAATTTATTTCATCATGGCATAGTGCCTTGTTTGGAGAGGTTGACTGTAGGGAAAGGATGGTAGTTGAAATAATGGTTCATCAGATAAGCAAGAAAAAAATAGTGTAATCACCCCGTCGGACAATCAGAAGGGAGAACCTAAAAGAGTTTGATTTGAATGCGTTTCATTGAGTTTAACCCATGATTATGTCTTTTTTATGGATAAATCCCATTTCCACTTCTGTTGCATTCATTTTTGAGTTTTATTCTGCTGGGTGTTGTAGAAAAGCATAAGGGAAAATAAGAAAACTACAGTAAGTGCATCAAGGTTTCTTTCTGTGTGACAACTAAGTGTATGGTCCAGTCCACTCAGCAAAATCCTGAGAAGGAAAACTGATAATGCTAATCTTTAAATCTCATTTTTTTCCGAGTGGACTAGCTCTCTCTAAATAAATAGCTTAAACTGTAATGTAAACAAACTTAAAGTTAAAAAGACGACTACTTAAATATTGGAAGAGACTGAATAACGTGACTACCATAAATTTCCTGAGGACTTGGCCAAATTCCGTCTGCACTTTCAGCCTAACCTGCAGGGGGCAATAGCTTGACACGAATAACAACAAAGGCTGCTGAGCTTTTAGACTTGGATTTCTGACTATGACCCTGGAATGTTGTGTAGGTTGGAAAGAGTCTTAATTAATGTATATTGAAACAAAAGATCAGGTAAATTGTTTGATTTGTCTTCAAGGTATATTTTTAGACTAATCTAATTCATAACTGTTAGGTTTTTTTTTTTTTAAAGAGATTGTCAAAGTTTCAGGAGACATATTCAGCTCTCTCAAGAATTATCCTAAACACTAATTGTTTACTAGAGATGTATGTAATTTATATTCAGCTCCCAAAGCAGCAAACTCAAAATGAGCACAGTTTTCAATGTTCAAATGGAAGACAAAAATCAGAGAAAATATGGAATATCAAATATAGATAATAAAAGAATGTCACATGCCTGGATAATAAATTCTCTATTTTTTAATCTTAAAATTATAAATAGAAGGGGGCAGTTGCCCTATTGTTTGCAATATATTTCCTCCCCACATATAAAATGTTATTTTTGAAATATTGGCTTTTATTTAAATATCATAATAGACAGTTACCAAGTGATCTTTTACTGCCATAGGTTTTCTTTTATCACAGATGGAATAGAATTTATTAGCTATTGATAAACCGCACTCTCCCAACCTCTCCCCACACCCCATGTATCTCCACTCCCTCCTCAATCCTTATTTCCCCCCCCCCCCCATCAACTGATCAGGAAAAACTGGAAACAGACCAAAACTGGTTTTTGGCTGGAGGGAATAATTGTAGAATTAAAAAAGAAAACGATCCCCATCTCCACACTGCAATCACATTTAACTTTCATTATGTCAATTTTCAGTGATGCAAAATGTCTTGCCCAAGAGGCATCCTAATTCAAGAAGTCAAAAGGGTACCTGGCATTAAACAACCCTAGTCAATCCTGGTGGGATTAACTGGACTGAGTTTCTATATACTGCACATGCTATGGATCTACTTTGATCACTATAAGGGGAAAAATGATAATCGATTTTTTTTTTTTTAGAATTGCTGCACAGGAGTACTCTTTCATTCATATGACAGAGTTTAATCTTGATAAAAACCTTTTTTAAACATCTTTTTCCTCCCCTATGGAAAGGATATGGTATCTATTTTTGCTTTTCTCTTAGGAAAGGGGATGGGGATTGCTTACACCCGGAAAGGAAATTTTATTCTCTAACACCCCCCCTCCCATTCTACTAAACCGTTTTAGTCGACATATGTTTGTTATCAGAGAGAGGTGCTGTGAACACACAGCCATTTTCTTAGCAGCTTTTTGACTGTATGTTACCATAGTCCCACAAGGCATTGGTCCTTTCCCATTGGGAAGTCATGAATAAGAGACTATGAAGCTTGCACGTCAGATCTTCCTCAATTAATCCACCATTAGCATGTTTGGGATCCACTACTGGATGGTTAACAGCAGCTTTTGTAACTGTATGCCGACCATACCCAATTATGCTCTGCTAAAAATGAACTCTTTGCAGACCAACCCTCTCGGGCTGTCAGTGTTTTCCGTTTTCCTATTTTAACGTTTGTGTATAGTGGCAGGCGACAGATGGTGTAGATCAGATCGATTTGATTGCATTAGATGATTTTTTTTCCCTTCCCCACTCCTTTCTGGAAGCTCGCATCAGCTGAAGGCTATCGCCTGGGACTCCTTGGAAGCGTGAGCAAGCCGCCACCACGCGAAGGCACTGGGGCACAGCCAGCGTGAGGCACCGAGGTCCCTTCCCAGGGCTTGTTAACACTGTAACCCAGCACTCCGAGGGAAGCAGCTCCCACTGTCCAGAGCCTATCTCACCCCTCATCAGATGACTCCCTGGCTTCTACACACAGTTGGAGTTCCGCTTGAAACCTGGATTTAGAGGGTAAGCACTTCAATCGAGATGGATTTGTGGCAGTTACTTTGCTATACCAAAAGACAAATCTCAGCAAACGTAAAGGATGTAAGATGTGTGGAAGAGGGAGACGATGTTTACATTGATAAATGTGTTTCTTTTTTTCTGAGAATGAGTATTATTCAGTAAAGATGTGTATAGTGTTTTTCCATTGATTGTAAGAGTCGACTACCACCCTCCTCCCGATTTTTTCCCTCTCCTTGGTGTTTCCCCCTTTCTACTTGAGAGGGAAGGAGAGAGGGAGAGGGAGGGAGGCAAGGGGGAGGGGGGAGAGAAGCATTTCTGCTTTAGCTTAATTGGCTTATTTCCTCAAACCGATTGCTTTGTCGCGTTTCTTTATGTATATTTGGTTGCAAATTACTAAGCATTTGACTGGGATGGGTGTCGGAGTATGGGGAACAGGGTAGGAAAGTAGTGGGGACTAGCAGTCAGTTGCGATGGCCTTAAGAGATCAAAAGGTGCTGAAAGCCCCCTGCCCGCAAAACACACCTTTAGTTATTGGGGCGCGAGAGAAATGTAGATTCTAATAAACATGGCTTGCAGGAGTCGATGAACAAAGGTACTTAATGCGGACCTAAGCCTCCGTTGATATTGCTCCGCTACCAGTATCTAAATATTCAAAAGCAAAGTGTAAGTTGATCAACAAACGCCTTGATGGTATTGGGCTTTTTGCCTTTTCTGTTTTTGTGTGGCGGGTGGAGAAGGGGGGAGGGTGGATGGGTGGGGGAAATCCGACAGCTTAAGGAGGTTTGAATTGAATATGCACCCAGCGGCAGTGGTCTCGTAGGAAATGGTGTTCTCGTAAGTCAGGCTGCCCCGCTGAAGCACGAGAGAGCTTTGGTTAGAGCTCAGAGCGTCAGTTTTGCTGCGAGTGCTGCCGGCAGTCGGCCCGGGCTGAGCTGTCCACTTGTCCAGGTGCTGAAGCTGGTGGAACATTTGGTAGGTAGGAAAAGGGCTGGCATTGGCTACTTGGATAGAAAGAAAGCATATCAGTTGCGTTGTTCTAGTTTCTTAAAGCGTCAATGTGTATGTGTTGTGTGTGTGTGTGTGTGTTATTTGAATTGTGAAGAAGCAAAACTAAAGGAGATTACTCAAAAAGCATTGAAAAGCTGTGTGGGTATTTGTTCTGTGGGTGTGAATCTGATATACTGTATATTGTTGTATTGTTGTGTATGTGTGTATTTGTGTGTGTGACTGTATGCCTTTATAATCCTTTTTAATTCAAAGAGACTATTCCATTTACTAAATCAAAATCTATCTGTATGATGTGTTTCTTGTTTTCCTTATAATGTTAGTTGAGATTTAAATGGAAGAGTTCAAGAGCAAATGTACACTTTGCTCATAGACTATTGCATTACTTTCCCTAAGGGCTTTTGTTTCTAGGAGTTCAAGCTGAAGAGAACCTGTCAGCTTTCTGTGTGTGTGTGTGTGTGTGTGTGTGTGCAGCAGCAGCAGAAAAGCTCCACTTTATAGCTATGTTAGGTAATGGCAGAAAATAGTGCTTATTAATTTGTTTAATTGGCATCTGTCTTTTTGTGAAAGGTGTACTTAAGAGTCATCTGAAAATACTGTAAAATAGGCTAGTAATTGGGCAATGCTGCCTTTCTTTGGAGTTATTTTTGGCAACAGACATTATATATTAAGCAACTGTTCATAAAACCTAGCATTCATGTTGATTTTTCTGTTTGTAAGTAACATGTCAGGAAACTGGTGACTTGGTGTGTCTGAAGAAGTGATATATTTTTCTAAGTAAGAAGAGCAAACATAGGATAAGTGCCTTAAATTGCAACCAGGTCAGTCAGAGATGAGTTGTGGTAGTGGGAGAGATTCTGTTATATAATTACTCCTTGATGAAGAGCTATTTGCACTTACATAATTTGAGGAATCATAATGTCTATTGCCATGTTACCATATTCCCTGCCTATTCCACTCACATGGCTGTACTTCCATGTATTTGAGAGTAAAAAGAAAAGCAAATTGTTAACTTTCTAATGGAACTACAACATGTCTTGGGTAGTGACGTTGCACTTGTCCATTTTATTTAGTGAACAATAAACCCCTATTATCAGAATATTCACTTCAGGGTCTTAAGACAAAGCTTTTCCAGTAAGAGCCATATTGATCATCAAAGAATCAGAGATTCTCTTTCTGAAAGCCAAATTACAGTCACTTTGCAAATGAGTTTTTATTTTTTTCTCTTAAAAATGTATCTTATAAAGACAGAGCTTCAAAGGTGTATCTGTAAACGTGTTCACAACTGCACAGCAATGCATTATACTGTATATTTTAAAGGTGGGCAAGAGAATTACATTTGGCGGTACTACAATATGATGCCTAAATCATAAAAAAAAAAAAAAAACAACTCTACAGCCTGTCAACTCAGTGAGTTCTTATACTATGGAAAATGACTTTAATTATTTTGTGCTTTGAAGTTTTTTTTCTTTAAAAATCATTGTTGTATAGCTCTAAGGCCTTCAAAGGAGAGATGCCTATTTTTGTAGATCTATAAGTATTTGATTTCAAGTAGTAAATTGAATGAGTGTTTATTTTCTGTGATCTTGGGTATTTCCAAACACACTGCTGAATATTTCACCCATGCATGACCCTATCTTTATTTGAGCCTCACTTCTTATAGCCATCTAGGCAAATACATTTGTAATATTTGTGTGCTTAACTATGCATGTCTCTTACAGGGCTCTCTCGCTGTCACGACACTCACACACAGCACCCAGAGTGGACTGGCTGAGACCAGAGAGTGAACGAAGCAAAGCAAGAACAGAGGAAGGCACTTAAGAGAGCACCAGGTAAACTAAAGGTTACTTGTCACGCCCACCCTCTGCCCCAAAAGCCTTGCCATATCTTCCTTCCTCACTGGCAAAATCACTCTTCTCCTTCTGCGTTAAGTGCTTGGTTTTATGATTTGTCTTGCAGAATTGGAAATAGAGCAGCCATTTGGATTTGGGCAGGAAGCAGCGGAGCACGGCTTTGGAACCTTCTTTAGGGAAATCGAGTTATGGATTTATAGTCCCGGTCAAGCTCAGCCCAGCCCCAGCCAGGGGCGGGCTCAGCAGCAAGAGTTCTGGTGGCGGCGGTAGCAGAAGCAGCGGCAGCGGTAGCAGCGGCAGCAGCAGCAGCTTGGTCCTCTGACTCTCTTCGGTGACGGGTATTCTTGGGTGGATAATACGGATTACGTTGTTATTGCTTAAGAATACGCGTAGTCGAGGAGAGTACCAGCGGCAGGCGGGCAGCGGCCGCCCCTCCCAGCCCTCCAAATGGCCTCGAAACGCCTGTGGTTACCAAGGTAGCACTTTTTTTAATCTTTTCTTTTCCTGGGTGTTTTCGCTTTGGGTAGCTTGTTAGGTGATCACAAGAAATCCCACCAGAAAGCTTCTGTGCGCCGCACCTCTGGTGGCCCGGACTGTAGAATGGGCACGCGCGGAGGGGCGGGAGGGGGGTGAAGGTGGGGGTTGGCGAGGCTGAGAGAAAGGGCGGGGGGAAAAGAAAGGGGTCCGTTCAGGGGAGCCTGCGGGGAGTTTCGGCGTCCCGGGCCTGCTTGTGTCTCTCGGGTGCGGCGAGAGAACCGAGGCGGACCGAGAGCGTCTCTAAAGTTGGGAATGATTGAAAAGCCTTGAGCAGTTTGGCGGCGTCGCGAGTGAGGAGCTGGAGCTGGAGCAGAGGGTCGCTGGGGGGTTGCCTCCGCAGAAAGGGCGTGTCCGTGGGCGAAGGTGCCCCCGCAAGCTGCAGAAGCTCGTGACTTCGCGAATCCCGGGTCGGGGCGGTGCCGGAGCCCCACCCCCGGCTGTGATACTGTGCAGCCAGACGTAGCGGCCGGGACTGGGGAGGGGTGAGGGACGGGGGATGGGTCCCCGCGGACCTTCCAGATTGGAAGTGTGGCTGGTCCCTCAGGAACCCATATTTTCTTTTCGGATTCTCCGCGAAGGGGAGGAGAAACAGGATGGGGACCGGATTGGTTGCGGTGTGACACAGAACTGGAACCTTCCTGAAAGTGGTTGGGGCAGGCAGTGACTGTTCAGCCGTCCAATTTATTTGGGACACCTCTTCAGCGCTGTCTTCCCTGCCTCTGCCTTTAGGACGAGTCTCAAACACCAACACTCCCAAGGCACGTACCCCTTCTCAGGTCTGCTGCGAAGGAAGGGACGAGAGGAAGAGCGAGCCTTTCCCTCTGTCTACTTCTAGTTTTTGTTTGTTTGTTTCAAATATTAATGGACGACTAAAAAATTACGGATTTGATCCCCTCCTAGCGAAGAGCTAGCAACCACCTGCAGACTGCCTCAAGCATACCCCGGCACTCCTGAGGACAACCGGATGTGGTAGGAGTTGAGAATCCCAAGATGGAGCTGGAAAAAAAGATCCACTGTTGAAGATGCGGCCACGTCTTGAGCCCTCTCACTCTTGCGGGCAGCAGACCACGCAGCTCTGCAACTCCCCTTTCCCTCCTGCGTGAAGCCAGGGCACGCCCGGTGGTGGCGCTTCAAAGGTGGGCGGAGAAAATGCTGTGAGCAAGACCGTACCTGACGCCCAGAAGGTTCTACTAGGCTTGGCAAGAACCTCCTGGAACACTAATACCTGGTTTCCTCTCTGCTTGGTGTTGGTCGTTCATGGGCTACAAAGACTGAATTCCTACGTCGAAATTGCGGGAAGGAGAAAATAAAATTAGAAACCTGAGACGTAATCCCTCGTGGTGCTCCCAAACCAGCTCTATAAGCCCCAGACACCACTGGGTTCTTGCCCACAAGAGCAGCTCTGAGCCCTGGAGTTGCTGAGAGCTATGCTCAAGGGAGGCAGGCACACCCTCAAGCTTTCCTTTCTAGAGTCTCGCCTTTTCCCAGTATTCGGATGCCTAGCGAGGGGTACACTTTGCTACTCTGTTCCCTAACCCTATTTCCATCACACCACTTCGGATCCCACAATTACTCTAGGGTATCTACACTCACAGCTTTTGCTCTCAGGAAAGGTTTTTGACCAGGAAAAAGAGAGGTACCCTTCTCAGAAACTCCCAGAGCCAGAGTGAGTCCATTTTAAGGATGAGTTGAGTAGAAAAAGCAAACACAGATGCTATCTTTGCACGTAACATTCTATCACTAACAAGAAAAGATGTAACTACTGTTCTTTCCTCCATTGTACCATGAATTACCCTTTCTCTGGGGAGCCAGCAGTTGGTGATTAAGGGCTTTTAAGTATTGCTCTTGTTATGTATTTAACAAAATGCAGTATGTCTATTGGTGGCATTGTTTAATTGGAAAATTAGGGAAGTAGGAGAAGCTCCGTAATCTAGTAACAAGGTGGTCTTTGGGAAGTTGACTTAAGTGCTTGGTTGGCTGAGTAAGTATATAAGGTTTGAAAAACAGAAAGGGAGCTGAGGCCTGGTGATAAGAGTTTGTGAGAAATGAAAAAAATGTAATACTTGTGTGGTTTTTGAGAAGGGGGAAGAACTTTTGAAAAATAAGCTATCTCAGTTTTTTTGCCACTGATACTTCAGCTTATGATTGCAAGTGCTTCATAATGAATAATATTTTCTAGAGTGGAATAATTGTAAATCCTGGTGATGAAATCTAAAGAAAATCTCTACTCAGTTGTGATCAACAAGAAGTACTTTTATTTTCTTGGTTCAAGTGGTTTAAATACTCAGTTCATTGCTTTCCTTCCTGAGCAGAATTCTTTTCTTATAAAAGTTTCCATTAGGTGTCAGTCTGACTGAACTAGTTTCTATCTAAATTTGAAAAGAAAAAAAGAATGTGTTTGGGGGTGGGGAAGGTAGTGTAGTTTACCAGGGTGATTCTTTTTACATATGAAGGAAAAAAAACCTAAAAGTTTATTAAATAGAAATTGCTATACTTGGTTATTATTATTTTTATAAAGCAACTTTTCCCCCTCAGAAATCTGAATTTTAAATTAAATGACCAATGGCCAGTTATTACTTTGCCCTGTCAGTGTCTATTGACAAGAATAAAGAAGTGTAAAATGATTGTGATTTTCATGCTAGAATTAAGTGCTACTAAGGAATCCTAATAGTTGGGTTGTTTTTCAATTAATTTCCAAATAATAGAAGAGTTTTCATCCTTTTTCTAAATTTGTTTTGCTTTACACAGGTGATACAATTTCTACCTGAGAATAGTCTAAGGGTACAGCTAGAGTATCCCCTTGAGAGTAAACTAAGGCTCAGGGAGAAAACTTATGAAAACTGTTTTTGCCTACTATTTTTGCCTTCATCAAGCTTACTTAAATACTATATTTTTATGAATATGACTTATGGTTTATAGGTGAAACATTTCAGTTTCTATTAGGAATTTAGTTCTGTGAACTTTTAAATTTATGCCATAATATTCATTAATAGGTGTAAGAGATACCTTGGTTGATGGCTTACTACTGAGTCTCTGAGGTAAGGCGTTTGATGTAAGTTATGTTTTGGAAGAGCTTATTGATTTTATCTTTGTGTTTGTGCATATTTTTGCTTTTTGTTATGATATTTTTATTTGAATAGAATTGCAGGGAATGATGGTATTCAAGGTTAAAGATCCACTGAGGATTATGACAACTTCTCTGTGAATTCAGAGAAGAAATATATTGGACTGATTACTGTGAACAAGTATACACTTCTTAATAAATAATCTTATTATGGATCTTTCCCCAAATCTACTGTTATCTGAACATGATGTAGTTCTTGATGTCACAGTAGTGCCTATCTAGAACCAGACAGAAGTGTCAGTCCATATCCAGGCAAAGGAGAACAATGATGAAATAACATGTTAATAGATAGAAATGCCATAACATATATTTCTCTAGTTACATTCCACATCAGTAATGGCAAATTTTCCAGTATAAAAATAGACAATTTGTATAGGTGGAAATTATAGTTTTATTGGGAGTATCTTGTGCTTTTATGTAAGACAGAGAAGGACCAAGGTCATAGAAAATAGTATAAGACTCTTGCAAGTATTCACCAACTTTTCAATACTGTGCAGTTTCAGCTATCACTGTGTCATAGAAATCGCAAAGTGATGTTCTTACAATGTTAGAGCCATCTGCATATGAAACTTACTAGACCAAAGTAAAGGCTAAATAGACTTTAAGCAAATAGTACAATTTATTTTAAGGTGTTTTGAGATTTTCTTCCCCTTGACACAGGTTATCATCATGACTTACAACTCTCAAATTCTGATCTATAAAATATTTTGCTTGAGTGTAGATTACAAGCTTTTTAATGAGAAGATGTAGTTCATCCAAAAACAAGCTAGGAAAGAAATAGGAAATTTTGTTTCTTGAAATGTGGTTAATACCTGGTGATTAGCTGGGTTTGTTGAAAGCAGTGTAGCAATAGAATCAGTATGTATCTGGTATGTGACTATTTAAATCTCTTTTACTTCTGAGTGTTTTTATGTCCTAGTTAATAATAATAAGAGCTATGTAAGACAATCTGATTTCCAAAATCAGTGAAAACTATTATTTTATCTATAAAATTGTGAAAACATGTCATTTGCTGTTTGTGAAAATACCCTTTGTGACTAAATAATAATGTGCATTATCTAAAAATTTACACATACCACATGTAAATAGAGCCAAACATTAAAAGTGAACTATAAACTTAGACATTAAAAGGATTTTAAGTAATGTTTGTAACTATTTTATTAGCTTCTAGTCAGTATCCAATCTCAATTTAATTTCAAACTAACAACATTTATATCTTTGTAATCTATTTACTAAGACCATGTTCCTGTTTATCAAAGCACATTTTTTTAAGTTGACAAATTATATTACAATAGTGGTATAATTGCCTAATTTGAAAAAAGTGTCTATTTTTAAATTGAATAAAATGTATGTTCTTAAGTGACAATGCTTCTAAAAATTCTTTTTGTAATGATGAAATAATAATTAGAAGGCTGATATTTCTTACAATTTTTAAAAAGTTTATATCTACTGCAACCTGAAATTTAATTTTTTTGAAGTCTACATTTATTTCCATAAGCAAGTGTAGCCAACCTCAAGAAGCAGTTCAAACAAGTGCCAGTATAACAAGTTACCAATAAAAGATAATTTATAATTATTCCATTAATTTTTAAGGTCTAAGAAGAAAGGATGAGTATTATACCTAGTATTCTATCAGAAACATATATACAAAGAAATATTCTTTGCCTTATAATAGAAATATAGTAAGATAGGACTTACACATATTCTAGATTATTTTATGGATAACTACAGGTGACTCAAATTTTTAGGATAGTTGCTATGGGTCCAGATTCATGCAAAATTCGTTTTCAGAACTATACTAAATATACTTTAACAATGTTTACAAAGATGAAGAAAATTAGGGAATTGAGTGATTTGTGGAAAAAGTGCAAACCTTTTTTTTTTTTTTCTCATTGTTTTGATACTTAAGCAAAGAAGTGTATCCTATGGTGGGAAGAACTCTGAAATAAAAGTTAGAAAATCTGACGTACTTTGTGAATTACAGGCTCTGTTGAAATATCAATGGCCACAAAGCTCACCTGGCCCTTGGCTGTCTCATTAGGGTGGATGGATTTAAGTTCTCTGCAGGCCTTCTCCCTGTCTAGGAGCTATTTATTGATTGATATTATATAGAGATATATTCCTATTATATAAAGAAGTATAAAAACTGAAACCAAAACTAAGGAGATAAATATAAAACAAATCTTTTTAAAGGCCAATATATTTTGTCTTAATATCAAACAAGAAATCGTCCTTTAAGGTTTTTACTTATATTTTCAAAAATGGAAACACCTCTGTCCCTTTTTCACTTCATTTTAGTTTGAAGTTTTAGTTGCAAAGAAAATTCCCAAAGTACAACTAGTAGATTCACCCTACGAGTTTATTGTGAGAATGCACATGTGTATGTGTCTCATTACAAGTGTCTACTTCAAAAATATTTCAACCTAGTAAGACCAAAACAACAAACAACTCTTTTCAAAGTCAATGTAATGAGTGTAGTAAAGAATACATCCTGGGCCTTTTAAAAGCATATAGTCCATGTGTAAATGTTTGTGATTTTCAACTTAACTCAAGTTTTTAGAGAAGCAGGAAATTACTATTTATTTAATATTCTGTTTAAAAGTAGTATTTACATAGGGTATTGAATTAGAAAATGGCATAGAAATGGTGTAGCCTTTGAAAATAGCCCATCTAGTGTCTGGCACATGACAGATGCTCAAAAATATTTATCAGTTTAGTGAAAGCAGTGATATACCCTCAGTATACAGGCTAATATAGAATGTTACATTTTTTCCACAATTAATGTCCTTTTAAAAGTAGCTATTATGTAAATGATTGTTGAGTTGCATTTATTTAAATTAAATCCTAGTTTAACATCAATGCCAATTTTCAAATTTGTTTACTTCTTTTCTATAGTTCTGAGCTAAAACTCCTAAATAACTGAAACATCTATGAGAATAATCTTTTAAGCTGTATTCTTTCTGAAACAAGTAATTATTCAATGTGAAATCATTTCACTCCATGTGGATTTTTGATAAAAACACTACCTAGTGTATTTTATTTAATACAAATGTGAAAATATTTGTAAAAACTCATAAATTTTTAAACAAATAGTCAATGGAAGTACATTAAGTTGTAATGCTCCTGCATTTCCCAGGTTTAGTAAATGTAAGTTGGCCTTAACTAATCAAAGGGAAAATATATATATATATATACACCTATCCTCTAAAAATTAAAATAATAGTGTTTGGTTTTATCCTGATAATTTACATAGTGTTTCATCCACACTTTAATGACAGATACACCCTACTATAGCCACTTAAAACTCTGAGAATAGTTTCACTAAAATTTCTATAAAGGTTTAAAAACCAAATTATTTCAAACAGATGTCTGGTATTAGAGTATGAGTTTTAGAAGCTACTTACTTACACTTCTGTGAAAATATCCCCCCCTTTTTGTTTTCTGTTGCTGGTCCAGAACAGCTTTGAGAGTATTTCTGACTATATATTAGGACAAAGGCAAAATTTAGTTTTGTTTTTTTGAACCAAAACAGGTTTTTGTTATGAGATTTTTATTTTAAAAATCAGAGTTGATATTTAATTGTTGACATGATGTGATGTCACTTTTCGATCCAGTGTTTTGTGCAGATAACAGTTGGGCTTGACAAGAGAGAATGGACAGAGATAGCAAGTGGAAGTATTAAGGATGTGAATTGTAAAGAAAATTGTTTGTTTTTTGATGATGTGTTGAAAAATAATTATGAAATTAACGGTGACTCTTTTATTAGCAGACCTGCTAACCAGTACCAGTACACCTTGGGAAAAAATAGCATTTTTAGGAAGGTTATTTTAGGAAGGTTGATCTGTTCTAATTCAATTGTGGTGTAAAATTGCCAATATTTATTTTACAATATATATCCATATAAAATGGATAATAGGATTCTTTAATAGAAATTATTTCATATTATTTTATAATATATATCCATATAAAATGGATAATATGATTCTTTAGTAGAAATTATTTCATATTATTCAAAAGTTCTTGCTTTTACTCAGGTAGAAAGCCATACTCTGGTATAGAACTGTGGATCAGCTGAAATAAAATGTCTGGGCAAAATGGACATAGCTTATATGTAGGAAAGAAAGGCATAAAATCTGGATTTTCTCAAGTCTAAGGAAAGTTCAGCATTCAGAAAAGGCAGATTTCTGGAAAATTAAGCTTAAGAAGGACATGGTTTTAAAATGACAGTCATATCTATTTTTCATTTGTAAAAGATATATGCTGTATTTGAATATTGTGCTTTAGAAAGAAAGTAGCTTAGGGAAATTGTGTTAGTAATATTTCACCAAATAAAATATAGACACTTTTGTCTAAGAGAGTTTAGTTTTTCCTCTTCGCTGTGGTTAGTTCACATTTTAGAGAAGTCTATTTGTTAAGCTAGACGATTAACATACTTGTTCTCTAGTTTGGCAGTTGAATCCAAAAACACAGCATTGCCACTTGATCATTTGCTTTCTTTTAATGGTATTATTTCCCAGTCTATTTTCCACATCAGTATGAAATTCATGTGTTTTAGATGAGCCCATACTTAATTAATATTACATTTATTTGTTTTGATACCTTCTATCGCAGAGTCAGCTCTTTGGTATATGGTCCAACTTCTCTGTTTTGTATGTGAATTCTTCACAACATGGAAAACTGAACTAATGTTGTTGTGGACATTTGGTTGGTATTTGGAGCCTATTTTCTAAATCATCTTTCACTATTTTCTTTCTAATATACCACCTTGAAATTTCGGTGTCAAAGTTTTACTTTTCTGGGTATCTAAAAAGAATCCTTATAGTCTTCTTAGTATTCAGTGATTCATCAAATTTAGCCTTTTTTCAAATTCAAATATTATACATACAGATGTGAAGGTAACAATAGATTCCATAGGTCTCTGGTGTAATTATGCATTTTTTGAAACCTAGGAAAATTTTATAAGCAAAATTAATATAAATGTGGAAAATAAATATAAAAATAATTCAAAGTTTACCCTTTTACTTGTTTCCAATATTTCAGTAAAGCAAGATAATTTTAATGTCAGTGAAATCAACTCAGTTGAATAAGTTTCCAAATAAAATTGTTAGCTGAAACACTGGAATAGCACATCTGTATCATGTAATATATACAATGGAACATTTAAAATGAGATCAGTGATACACAGCCAATGATGTTTACACTTTTAAATCCTATTTTAACAAATTATCATTTTACTTAGGTTTTTATTTAAGTTGTAAGTATTCAAAGCTATCTTGTTGAATACAGGAAGCCAGATTAGCTCTGGACTAGAGATGAGTCAAAATAAAACCCTCACCTTTACTATAAACTTATTCACTTCTGTTGTGCTACTTATACAAATTGCCTGGTGGACAGTCACTGACAAATCAGCATTACCCGTAAAGCTAACCGCTCAGGAGACCATACGGAGAGGTTGAGTTCTCATTTTATGGTCACCAAACTTATCGATCAAAGAAACATCCTTCTTTTACTTGAAAGACTACTATTCCCAAATCAGGTCTCTAATACAGCAGGTGGAGTTCACTATAAAACTGCAGCTGTCATTGTTTTAAAATGAAAATAATACCATTTTGTCCCAATCAAACATGTTATCTTTTTCATTTATAATTTATATAAAATTTACAGTTATAACGATAAACTATAATTCTAAATACAAATGTCTGCTATTTTCCTCAAATGTTAAAAACAAAATGTAGAGATCATTCTAAGAGGGATCCAGAAAGAGAGGGAAAAGGGGAGAGGAGAAGGGTAGGAAGAGAGAGAGAGATTAGCATCTGATCTATTTTTAGAGCTCAGTTGAAGGTACCAGTGGCAAAACTGACTCTGAGAACCAGGCCTAAAATAATCATTTTGTCCAACGAACGATGTTTTATGGATTCAGACAATTTGATCAAGAACAGAAGGCTTTAAAATTTGTAAAGGATAGATTTTAATCCTCAAATCAGCTAATTAAGCTTCTTCTGTACAACATACAGTTTTAAGTTAACAGTAATTA